GCAATGAATGTACAAATGTGTTTTACACAATTGATGTATGTATGGATTGTGATAAGAGTTGTATGAGCCCCTAATAAAATGATTTTTTTAAAAGTACAAAAATTGGAGAAAATAGGAAAATGCAGAAGTTGAAGAAAATCATATTAAGTAAAAAATAAACGGCCTTAAGTCAGCTAAAAAGAAACTCTGATGAGGTGAGTTAACACAATGCCAACAATGAGCTCACACATAGCATTTAGACTTTCACAGAATGGAATGATCAGAATGTACTAGAAAGCTGATCAAAGGTTCATGAATGACAAGAAGTCTAATTGAGGAAAGGGGATTCATATTGCTTGAAGGAGTCAGGAAGGAGGGGAATGTGATCTAGGCCTTGAAAACACCAACCACCAAGACCCAGCTGACATCAGCGTGATATCCCATGTTCCACGCCCTCTTCTGAATCCAGCCTGAGCCTCTGGCAGCTCCCCGTCAATGCACTGCTGCAACCATTGTTAGATGATCTTCAGTAAAATATTACTTACATGTCCTATGAATGATATTCTTATATAACTTGAGCATTCTGTTTCATCACTTCCTTTTGGAGCGGGTACAAATATAGTGCTGATGTGGAATATTAAATATTAAAAAAATTTTAAACATTAAATATGCCATGAACTGACAGTAAAAATAAACAAAGATCTTTTGTAAAAATAAAGTATAAATAAAACATCGAAAAAATGGGTCAAAAGGGAGAGCAAAGGAAAAGATGACATTTCAACTTACCGACGTGGCATAATTGACTTTACAGTGCTCTGCCTGGTCGGGTTGTTACATCCAGCAACTGTGGTCAGAGGGATCTACTAAACAGGGTTTTACCCCCTCCCAGGGGGACGAACAGCAGAAAAGTGGGTGAAGGGTGACAGAGGATAATGTAAGATATGAAAATAATAATCTATAATTTATCAAAGGTTCATGCGGGAGGGAGCATGAGGGAGGGAGGGTGGAAATGAGGAGCTGATATCAAGGGCTCAAGTAGAGAGAAAATGCTTTGAAAATGAAGATGGCAACATATGTACAAATGTGCTTGACGCAATGTGTGAATTGTATGGGTTTTGATAAGAGATCTAAGAGCCCCCAATAAAAGTATTTAATAACAAAAAAAGAGAAGGGTTTTAAAGTCAGTATTCCTTGTTGATGGCCTGACAACAAAATGGGACGGTAATCAGAAAGGCTGCCGTTGGACTGTGAGATTGTGTGGCAAATGAAGTTAAGATTTTTGTGTGTGTGCTTTGCCAGAACTCGGACAACCTGGCCTTCAGCATTGCTACAAGAGCTGGCACCATGCTGTCCCCTTATGTTTGAATCCACTCACTGCAGATGGAGGGTGGTGATTACTATAGAACGTGCTGGCTGCTCTGAATGAACCACATCACACATTTTTGCAATGGAAAAACCCACTGAGCTTACTTGCTGAGCCACCAGGTAGCAGCCACGTCCATTTCTGTTTCCAAGGAACTCTGAAGCTTGCCTCTCAGTGCAGTGAGCATCATTTCCTTCCTCTCGCTGAACATCTCTGTAACCAGCATTGGAGTGGACAGAGAGGAATTTGGTCTTTTCCCTTTAGTTTCTACAGACTTAGAGCAAAGCTATGCCCCCCCAAAATGGGAAATACAGGCAGACATAGACACAAGTGGAATTTACTGAAGACAGACTATGTGCAAACATTTTTGTAGCTACTGTGCTTATTGTAAGGGACCCTGGTGGTGTAGAGGGCTGCAAGGTCAGGAGTTTAACCCCACTAGGCACTCTGAGGGAGAGTGGTGAGGCTGGCTGCTCCTGGAAGGAGGCCCCAGAATCCCTAGGACACAGTTCAGCCCTTCCCAGTAGGTTCAGTATGTGCCAGACCTGCCTTGACAGGAGCGGGTGGGTTTTTTGCTTACTAAGCTGTGAAGGGATACAAATGTAAAAAACAGCTGCTTATCCCCAGGAAGTTGATACATATGCAAAAGAGGTAATATACAAGCACCCACAAAGAAACTGATTAAGAAGAGCATCAAATAAGTAAAAATGCTAGATTGCTTATGTTATACCAGTGTAAAAACCTTTTTTAAAAAAAAGATGGTTTCCTGAACCAATAAAAAAATGACACAGTATTGGAAGAAGGAAATCTAATACGAGTACTTCATTAGAAAGATGGTGGGCGGAGCACATTGATGTATGTTTCATTTCCATTTTATTTCATTCTCTTGGCAACTTTGTGAGTATTAGAAGCCCCTCACGGCCTTCTAGAGGATGCCAGGAAGACTCAGAATCAGCCTGCCGAAGGTCACACTGTTGATTGAACCCAGGTCTCTGACCACAAAGCTGATTCATTTTTCTGTTACTGAACACTGTCTTCTCTGTAACCACAATACGAAAGCCACCTTTTCAGCACTGTTTATTATGCTTTAAGAAAACTAAAGGTATTTTTGAAGAATTGCAACCTGGTGCCCAAGACCTTTCTATCCTGCGGCTGCGTTCTAGTCTCGGCTCCAGCTGCTGAAGTGTTTTAGATTTCGTTATTATGAGGGTGTGTAATTAATGTCTTTTGTACACACACTCTCAGTCATACAACAATGAATCAGACCCAAGTCTCTCTATCAGAAAAGGCTTATTATTGATAACTGATAAATGAAATAATTAACTAATTCTTGTATTTTGAAGTACCATATATACTTGTGTATAAGCTTTTGTGATAAAATTAGGTGCCTTGGCTGATATTTGGGTTGCTTATACTCGAGTATATACAGTAATAGTTTTACCCTCTTCCAAAATGTCTAATTATCATTGTCTTTTGAAATGGGTCTTTGTTGTTGTTGTTAATGAGCCCACCTTATCTTATTTCCACTGACCATCAGCTTTTAAAAGATACCCTTATCCCATTAACTGGGAGTGCAGACAGCCTACCCAGATGACTTATGTGACTAACTTAGCCACTGGTTTGAAGAGTGTAGACTGTGAGGGCTTAGCTCTCTGCTAGGGTAACCTAGAATGATGCTTGACGGCAGGCAGCACAGATTTCTGGTAATATGAACAAGCAGTAAAGCCAGTATTCTAGATAAGACCGTTTTAACCCTAACTGTGAGGTGCCTAAGGCAGTGCTTTTCTTTTGCCCATAGTGTGCCGGAGAAGAGAACTGGGTGGACAGTCGGACCATCTATGTGGGACACAAGGAGCCGCCGCCAGGTGCCGAGGGCTACATTCCACAGAGATACCCAGATAACAGAATCGTCTCTTCCAAGGTAACTTTGTCGTCTGGTCTGAATGTTGTATTAAATATTTAAGAGAGTATTTGTAATTTTCAACGGTAACTATTAGTATTACTACTAGTGCTGCTCTTACAGCTGCTATTCTACTGCCAACCAAGGACTGTTGATGAGAACTTTACAAAGAGCGTTTGCTTCATCACACCGGCCAACACGCATTTGATGCCTCAAATGTTAGACTTGTTTCTGGGAATATTTGACCTGCTGATTCCAAAAATGGCACCGGTTTTCCCGTCAACTCGAGTTTTTGACATACAGAACACATGCCATATTCCACATCCTTCACTCTGTTTGTCCATAAAAAGTCAGGATTGTATTGTTAGCTAGCTTGAGAAAGAGTACTTACACGCTGACTTTATTTAAAATAGTTTGTGTTGTACTAAATATTTCGGTCATGTTATACTTTCCATGGTGTCCTTTGATCCAAAGATATATATGAACTGTGCAAATTAAGTAAATGTGGAATTTTCCTTAAGTATCACTTTACTTCACCTTTATTAGAAATTGAATAGCAGGTAGATCTAATTTTGTTACCTTAATAAAGGGCCAGAACTAAGAGTGGCTGTATGTAAGAAAGAGGAGCCCTGGTGATGTCATGGATTACGTGTTTGACTACAAACCACAAGGTCAGCTGTTCAAACCTATCAGCTGCTCTGCGAGAGGAAGATGAGCTCTCTTCTCCCATAAAGATTTACATACTCAGAACCCACAGGAGCTCCATCTTTCCTATAGGGTCTCCATGAGGTGTCACTGACCTTCTGGTAGTGAGTGCCGTACAAGAAACAGAGGCCAAATGTTCTCAAACCCATAATGCAGCGGTTCTCAACCTGTGGGTTGCGACCCCTTTGGGGGTCAAACGACCCTTTCACAGGGGTAGCCCAAATCATCACAGTAGCATCATTACAGTTATAAAGTAGCAACGAAAATAATTTTATGGTTGGGGGGGCCACCACAACATGAGGAACTGTATTAAAGGGTTGCGGCATTAGGAAGGTTAAGAACCACTGCCATAATGGGTCTCCCAAGAGTTTAGCTTCCTTTATTAAAATTAAAATGTTCCAGTATTGTAATGAGATGTCACAACTTCTCCACCTTTGCACAGAAACTCTTAATAGGAAAATTAGAATTTTTCTCACCTCTTCAGTATTTAGCATGAATTTTGCATTGACTTCTATATATTAAAGTGTGTTCTGAAATATTTACTGTATAATTTTAAGAAGAAAAACTTGAGCTTCAGAATATTTGTGAAAATTGCTACTAAGTCTTACATTTTCAAAACACTCTTAATTGCCCTCACACCTTCTAGATACGTGCCTTTTCAATGTTCATTTTTCACTGCCCACTCTTCTTTTTTTTTTTTTGCCCACTCTTCTTAAGCCATGCTCTGGCTTTTCAGTATCCACCTTGTCATATCTGTATATATTGCACAGCCTCCCATACAGAAATAATAACCTGCTACCGTCTAGTTGATTCTAACTCACAGTGAGGCTTCAGGATTGAGAAGAACAGCCACTTGGGCTTCCAAACTTTCATGTCTTTTAAAGGCTGCACTACACAGTGACAACTGGGGTCAAACCACTGACCTTATGATTGACAGCTCAGTGCCTAATTAATTAGCCACCATGCGTCCATATAGTTTCCCTTGGAAGTCTCTCAATACCTAATTCTTTTCCAAATATTTATTATCTTTTTTGCCTTATCCTATAATTGTGAGTCTGATTTCTCCAATTTTAGTATATGTGCTGCTGAAGCGAGCACGAGTCTGATTTCTCATATTTAAAACTAAGATAGTAAATTGATAAATTAGTATAATTTGTAAGCTAAAAATATAATGGAACTGGATGGAAAGTCAGATATGGAACACCAGATCTAAGAAACTAGAGCTGAGGCGGTCTATCCAGTACACTTTTCTGAATCAGTGCCCCAAATGACACCAGGAGCAGGCCAGAAAACCAAGACACCAAGGAAAGCCTTTTTGTGGTTGGGCTGTATTATCTGTTTAGTTATCCCCCAAACCCTTTTAAGACTTTCCAAGATGTCCCAGCACATTTATGTCAATCTGCTATTAATTATGTCATGGATATAGTGCCATATTTGAAGTCTAGGACACTTAAATCCTACCACTAGCTATTTGGCTCTGTGTAAGTCATTAAGTATGCTCAACTGGAGATTCCTCATCTGTGAAATGCAGGCAGTCCTGTCCCCAGTGAAATAAAAAAATGTAGAGTCGCTTTGTAAACTGTAATACACTCAGTCAGGGTAAGCTTCGTATTGCTGAGATGCTACAAGTGTCAAGGGGAAGGAAGGTGAGTTGACAGTCTTGACTAAAGTACAGCGTGTGTTCTCTCTCCCCTGCCTGGAGAGTGGGGCTAGCGAGGACATACTTACACAGTTAGAGAACAAACAGACCATTGGTGTTTAAGAATAGAGATTAGAATGTAGTTGCTGGCTTTTGAACACAAAGGGTAAATGACAGGGTATATTAGTTTTCTGGAGTGCAACTGGTTCATGTGTTCAGGTGCTAACCCAAAGATTGGTGGGTTAACTCTAATTAAAATCTAATAACCTGACATTCTGTGATGTTCATCTTCCCGGCATAATCACTAAAGACAAAATGGGTGCATAAGCTAATGTGTTGAAGAAAGCTGGTGGAGCCTGGCTATTACAAGATATAGCGTCTGGAGTCTTAAAGACTTGAAGTTAAATAAGTGGCCATGTAGCAGAGAAGCAACCAAGCCCACATGGAAGAAGCACATTAACCCCCGTGATCACGAGATGTCCATGGGATCAGGCATCAGAAGACGCAAAACAAACAACCATGCAAATGGTGTGGGGGGGGGGGAGTGTGGAGTGGAGACCCAAAGCCCATTTGTAAACGATTGGACATCCCCTCCTTCATACCAGGAAGCTAGCACAGGAAGTAATAAAACTAAAATCAACATACTTTAAGAAGAAGAAGTCAGAAGTCCCTAACTGATGAATCCATGTGTGAGATCGGGTTAAGTGTTAGGCAAGGTACTTGAACAACCTTCATCTCAACTTCCGATTAAAAAGTGGAACTGTGCTTCCAAATATATTTGTCTACTGAATGATCTCTATTCTTTAGAGAAGCTAGGATTAGGGGCTTAATCTCAGTTTCAAGTAGACTTTGACAGATAATTTCTTTTTTTAAATCATTTTATTAGGGGCTCATACGATTCTTATCACAATCCAAGAACTAGACATCAGCCATGGATTGCTAACGAAGTCACTAAGGACTTGCCTGTGGCAAGAGCGAGGACTTGGACGCTCAGCGGGGAGCGGGGTTGAAAACTGACATGGTCATCTGGAGAAGCTTGTGGAGAGTTCCTAAGTGATTTAATTCAAAATAGCAGCTCCCCAGAATGTATGAAAACTTAATGTGTACAGCCAGAGTTCACACCCAATTTGCAGCATATATTTGTGGCACTGTATCTTTGTTTACTTAGGAATACATTTTTTCTTTCTGCCTTAAAAAAGCAGAGTGCTGTCTAAGATGTGTTACGTGAGCATGCTTTCAGGACGCAGGAAGTTGACTTTTAGTAAGTCCAAGGGATATGAAAGCGCTGTGATCTGGGAAGTCACCACTAGGGATGAAGATTCCAACCCCATTACATTACGCCTCTGATGTGTTAGGTAGAAATGCAGGCATTGTTGATTTATACTTTACTAGGATTTCTTTTTGGAAGAAACATATTTGACAGTGTCAGGTAGAAGAATGAAAAAGAAATTATTCCCAAGAATGATCCCTTACCTTTGCTTCCTGTCTATAAGCAGATTGCCCCTCCCAGATTATACTGGGACATGCTTCTAAGATATGAACTGAGAGAATGACAACTCACTGCTTGTTGCCTTTTTAAAAATTGCATATTAGGGCACAGAATTCATGAGGTGCAAGATTTGCCTTCAGGAAGCTACAAAATGAAGTATAAGGTTTGGTCTACACGGGCACTTCATACATTCAAGGAAGCTAAATTACTTTTAATTATTAAGGAAGGAAAATTACATTGCTAATTAGAGAGAATAGGTAATTTTTTAAATGACTGAGTCCCAGAAACGAATTCTATGTTTATCGTTTCATTTAAGCTGAAAATAACCCTGTGAGGCAACTCTTACTTATTATGCCTTATTTATTCATGAAGAAACAGGCGGAGCAAAGTCACGTGCTCAGGGCCACAGGAGTGGGCACGCCAGCGCTGGACCATGTTTCTCTGACTGTGAGCTCATGGTCCCTGCTCTCCTGCCATCACCGCCTCTCAACACCGCGTCACGGTGGTAGCGTCTTCTTTCATAGCAGTAATCCAGGATTATGCCATGATTGATGATGTTTTACATTTTCCTTTCTATGAATTGACGATATTTCCAAATCGATAAGGGAGCGGTCTCCAGTTCGTTTTCAGGCCTGTCACATGCATAAGTATACTACCAGACCCACTAGGTGACAAATAGCGGAGGCTTTGGGGACGTTTTCCAGTGTTCTCCTTGTACTTTCTGACTGCTGGAAAGGAGCGCAGCACCTCAGAGCGTTCTGTTGGCCTCACTGCCTCACATCGCAAAGGGAAGTCCCTGCTCCCTGACTCTTTGTTCATGAACCGCACTCCAACCGAGTGAGATGAAACCAGAGATTGATTGGGTTACAAAAAAGAACCAAAAAGGTAGATAAAAAACATAAAGCTCAAATGCCAATCAAGTTTTCTTATCTCGAGATTAAAGGCACAACATGTAGAATAGGTCTAAGGTCTTGGTAGGTGTGAAAGAATGCAAGGAATTATTGATTCAACATACTTCAAAATGTCTCTTTTAGTAAAGAAAGAGGCTGTGGTCTAGTCAGATTTTTTGGCTTATTTATCAAAAGGGAAAAAACATTTTATTCATACTTGTGCCTTTGATACCAGGGACTTCCAATAGTACGTACTCATCCTTATACCGACCGTATCACAAAAGAAAAGGGGACTTGA